GGGGGGGGGGTGTTGGTGTTAGAAATGATAATGAAGCTTCTCTCGAATTCTCCTATAAAAGTATGAAGAAAGACAACGGAGACAAAATCGGCTAGGATACTTATGTTTTGATTTGTGTCTGAGAAGGGTGTATGTCTTAAGGAAAAGATGGGTTAGACCTTTTTGGACTTGGACTCGACTCTAAATGGGCCTCTTTTGTTTAGGACTTAGTTGTACATCAAATGGGCCTGAAAGCTTCAGTTATTCCGTTGGCCCATTCTAAGACAAACCCATAAGATAGAAAGAGATATTTTACATAGTAGATAGAATCATTCTTTTGTAAATATTTTTTTAGTCTGTTACAAAAGTTTATTACAATAGCTGTTAGGAATAGGCTAGTAAAATACTGCCACTTGGCAAAGTTTGTTTAGACTAGATTCTATTCTTTTGTATAAATAAATTACACTGTGCAGAGAAATACACAAAGAAAATTTCCAAAATTCATTCTCTTTTCATTCTCTTCATGAGAAAAGTAATCTTTCCCGCTTGGGTGTGTGTTTGTTATGAAAGATAAGTATTTCCTGAAAAACGTTTTTCAGAATATTTGAGGTTTTAGCCCAAGATATTAAAAAACAAATCAGCCCTTAAGAATAATGACCGCACGGTTTAACTGAGAACCCTAGACTTTTTGGGCATCCCTTTTCCCGTTTCCTTTTGTTTTTGCTTCTTTAAACGAGTATATTTTTTAAGAGAGTATACTTGAAGAAGTAGGATATACTCGGGCCTTCTTCAGAAGATGTGAGAGAAATAAGACAAGTTAGTGACTAATCAACTCACTCTTCTTCAAAACACCAAGAGAAGGTAGCAATATAATAGAGCAATAATTCAAGGTAGCTCATAAACAAGCCTACATTCCTTTTTCCTATTCCTATGTAAGTTGAAGTTCCTCTTTTCCATAGAGACCTAACTTAATATGGTAAAATAACTACTGCAAGAAGGCTGAAATCCGATATTTTTTTTTCAATTATGGACAACATGTCAATTTTTCCAACAGAGCAATTACTTCAAGGTACGAACGTAAGCAAAATAAATGTGATAAGCATGTCTCAACAACCAAATTTGCGCGACCGGACTTAAGGTACAGTATCAAGTCCAATCACAAGTGAGCCAATTAGTCCATCTTGTAATATGTACTTTGATTTTGTATATCCATAGCAGGTCGAACCAATACCTATTAGAAATTTTTTTTTATAATTATTTAAGGTAAAGTTTTTTTTTTTTTTTTTTTTTTTTTTTTTTTTTTTTTTTAGAAAAAANTTTTTTTTTTTTTTTTTTTTGCAATGTATTAACATCTAGGAAATATCTCTTGGCTCCGTCAAACCAAACGACATGTTATGAAAAAATTCATTTATGGTTGCATAGTTCTTAATTTCTTGTATCATAAATAACTTTATTTAGTTAAATCCTCTAAGTGGTGGCACGAGGTCTTAATGTTGATCGTACCTTGTAATATAGGATATTTAGTTAAATACTTTTTGTGGTGGCACAAGGTTGCTGTAATGCTTATCCCTACCTTGTATATTATATAAGAATAACTAAATTATGAAAGGAAGAGGACATAACATACTACCTTCTCCTTAAATCCAATATATCTGAATTTTTCACAGAAGTTGATTGGTGACCTGATGTGTTGAAGTGCATAAATATAAGTTAAAGAAAAGAGGAATCCTCCTTTCTAAATCAATTAGCTTTACAAAATATTACAAATATGTGTACATTCTCCTTCTAATTAACTAAGTTACAGTCAGATATTTGCAGGTTTGAAGGCCTTCCCTCGCCCGATTTTGAAAGAAGGAAACTGGAGTGTATCCATTATTCTCATATATCCAGTGTAGAATCACTTAGGGTAATACGACTTTCCCCTCTGATAGGTCACTTCATTATCGACTACTCCTATGATAAATAGACACTCAGGAAAAAGAACTTTATATTCTTTGTATCCGTATCTATAAATACAAACATACATGTAAATATGCGTATGATTCAATTTATTTCTTAGGGTAGATTAGTACTAGAAGTGGAACTTAAATTCTTGATTCCAATTTCTTAGATTTAAAATCCTTGACTAAGAGTAGATATGCCCTCTCTTCACGGAAATATTCAAGAGGCAAAGTATTACGCCTCTCAATCTCCTATATATCATTTTATTTCATGGATATTAATTTATGGACTGGGGCTTCTTAACCCACCATAGGACGCTACATTTTATAAACATGTACTCCAACTTCGACCGTTGATTAATATTACGGTGGCACTTACATTTGAAATAATCACGCATGTGGAATGGAATGTATCTGAAATCAGAGGCGGATCGAGGTTTTTAAGTCCATGGATGCACTATAGGCTTTAACCAAATTTGATACTTGTAAATAGTGTCAATTCTTTTTTTTTTGGTCAACAATGTCAATAGATATGGAAACATTTAGTGTTTTATGACTTATTGTC